TCTTAACATTTCCATTTGCAGAAGGAGGTGCTGGGGGATGTTTGCTTTGGCCGGCTCGAGCGCGTTTCGCCGCGGCAGCCGCGCGCTGCCCCTGCCCGGCCGAGCCCCGGGACGTGGTGCTGCAGCACGGGGATTTTTTGCACCCAGACCTGTCTCCCCCAGGGACGTGCAGCTTCCTTCATTTCCCACTGGAGTGGAGAAGCCCTAATGAGCATGTTGGCCAGGCTGCAGCTCGGCAGACACGGGCATGCGGGATCTTTATTCCATTTCACAGAATCACAGTGGATGTGAATTTGCTCACATTCCTCCTAATGCATTTCCATGAGAGTGGAGCCGCCCTCCGTGCCGAGCAGGCGAAGGAGCTCCTGCTGCTCCAGCCTTTCCGGATGCCCTTGGTGGGCCACACCAAGGTCCAACCCACCGGGCCGGGTGGCTGCCCTCAGTGAAGCAAGGAGAAGGGTGCTGAGCTGCCCCATCCCTGCCAGGTCCAAGGGGTCAGCTCTGGCATTCCCAACCCCATCCTGGTCTGACAGTGAGTGGGAATGTTTGGGGACCTCTCTGGAACCTCAGCGCAGGAGCAGTTATGATGCTGCCATCAGGAAATGCTCCCTGTCTGGAGCTGGCCATGGAGCCAGGACCTTGGCCAAAACGGGGCACGTTTTTTGGCCAGGTTGGCACAGGCAGGTGGAGTGTGTGCGCCCCTGGCCATCACTGTCACAGCTCGGACAGGCCTCGGCATCCTCTGCACCGTGGGGCTGCCGGATGCAGGGTGGCCCTTACCTGCCCCGGGTCCCGCGTCCCTCTGATTGTCCCTGGTCCCCCTGTCCCTGGGTCCGGAGGGCTCCGTGGGATGTGCCCAGGGCCTTGCAGGATGGCATCCCGTGGGGACCCAGGGCGCCAGCGAGGATGCTCTGCCCTGGGGACAGCATTTGGCCAGGGAGAGGAGCAGGTGGGTGCCCTGCGGGGAGCCCATGGGCACCTGGCCAGGGGGCTGCTCTTCCCTCCATGGACATTCCAGTGTTGGATGTCCGTGACCCAAGGCATGGGCTGCTGCTGCGCCAGAGCGGCAGCTCCGTCCCGTGCCCGGGCGCCCAAGGAACGTGCCCCCGATCCCCACGGGAGCCCGGCCGGCCGGGGCGTCCCAGCGCTCCCACCTTCCCTCTCTCCACACAGGGCTCCCCGGGCAGGCCGAGGCTGCTGAGCTCCCCGGCTTCCCCGAGCAGGCGCTGCCCACCATAGCAAGGCTCATCGAGGCGCTGGAAAGAAAAGGTACCGGCAGCTTTCCAGGTGGGACATGTGGGCAGGAGGAACGACGGTCGCGGGGCCAGGGCTGCACCGGGCGCCCGTGGAGCATCATCCCGGTGCATGGAGGGGCCAGGAGCCGCGGTGCTCCCTGCAGCACCTGGCCCTGGCACTGACCTTCCCTCTGGCCATTCTGCAGGACAGGATGGCGAGGATCCCTATGGATCGGCTCCCGGCTCCCTGGGCGACCCAGAGCTGCAGCAGGCTCTTCTGACGGGTGAGTGTCCCCCTCGTGCCCCGGCACAGCGGGAGCTGCCACCTTGGTGCAAACTCGTCCGCGGGCCCAAACCCAGCCGTGGCGCAGAGCGGGACGCGCTGCCGCCTGCGAGATGCTCTGATTTGGGGGGCATTTCCCCCGCTGGACACGGTCCCATCGCGGGCGGGCGGCAGGGAGCTGCTGGCAGAGCTATATCCAGCAGCATGAGCTCATCGCTTCCCCGCGCCGCATCCCGCCGGGGCCAGGGCTGCGGCGAGGGCAGGCGGGCAACGGCAGCGCATAGAGGAGCCCGCGCCTTGTCATGAGTTTGCCCGGGCTCAGCCCAGTGCTGCTCCCTCCACCGCGGTGCGGGGCTGGCTGGAACCAGAGCCAGGTCTCAGCCGCGGAGAGACGCGGGTGTTGGGAAGAGCTCTCGGTTCCCACCAGGGGTTTCGGCTTCCCTATGAATGCCCTAATTATGCTGGTATTTGGCAGTCGTGGCAGGAAAACTGCTAGAGAGCGCGCGGAAAAGGGAGTAGGGGCTGAAAAGGTTCAGGTGTTGGTTTCCTGACCCCAGACTTAACGTGTCAAAGAGAACAGGGTATTTTCTGTGCTAAAAAAGTGCTCGGTTGTCTTGAATTTCCATGGGGAGGGAGGAGGTTTCTCCAGGGGAAAATGCACCTGCATGAAGGTAAAGAGGTGGCTCCCCTCACTCCTGCTGATTCAGTCTGGTTTCCGAAGGGGAAAAAACAAACGCTCACACAATTGCAATGCCCAAACGCAATCCCATTCGACAGAGAGGTCTTGTAGCTATGCAGGAGGAGAGATCCCTGTGTGTGTGCTCAACCCTTATCAGACAGCGGAGAATCCCCGCACCCCGGCTGCTGGCAGAGGGGCTCCCGCGCCGCTCCGCGGATTGGAGCCGCTGTCTCCGGGCGTGCCGGGCTGCGTTGCCATCCTCCAGCTTTGATCTGCGGCCGCGCGCTCTGCCTGGAGACACGCTCACGTGCCCGGGAATTAGGTCAGGGCTCGGCGCGGATTAGAGGCTGCGCTGGCCCGGCCGCTCCGGCAGCGGCTCCGGCGCCCGGGAGCTGCTGCTAGGCAGACAGGGCCGGGAGGGAGCGTCGCTCCGAGCACCGATTCCCCCACTCCAATTCCCCCACTCCATGGGCAGGTGCTGGGCAGGGAGCCCTTGCAAGCAGCCTATAGGAATCGCATCCCCGCGTCCTCGCGCCGGCGATGCCAAATGGAGCCTCGGTGGGATCTGGGCATTCACCGGCTTGCAGGGGTCCGCAGGGCGGCAGGGGCTGCTGCTGGTGACACTGAGCCCCAGCACAGGGGCTGGCCCGGGTGCGTCGCAAAGACACCGAGTCAAAGCCAGGGAAATATTCCCTGGTCCCGGCGCTCCCCGGGCGCACAGCCAGGCCGGGCGCTGTGGCGAGCGCCGCGGGGCGGCTTCCTCCTGCAGGAGCCGCAGCTGGAGCCGCAGTGGCCGGAGAGGTCCCGGCATTTCCTGCCAGGCCTGACTCAGCCCCGCGCCTCCCAGCTCCGCTCGCTCCGGGAGAGATCCTGCGGGAGCCGGGTCCTTGGAGCCCGGCACGTTCCCCCTGCAGCTCAGATGCCTTCAGGATGGGCCTGCCCATGAGTCACTTGGGCATCTCCAGGGCTGGAGACTCCAAAGGATCCACATTTTGCGTTTGCAATTTTCCACGTTTGCATTTTTTCCAGACACCCCATGAGGGATGGGGCACAGACTGGTCCTGTCCCTCCACCTTCCCGTCGGGATGTGCTGCATCAGCTCCTGCATCCCGCTGCCAAGGGGCTTGGGAGGCTCCTGGCGCATTTTCCCTTTCCTTTCCCCGAACTTATTCCCACTTTCCATCCTGTACGGCACCTCTCCGGGTGCCCCCAGCACCCCCTTTGAGGGTGCCCGGATGGGAAGTCCCTCTCATTTATCCAGGGCTCAGCAGGGGACGGGGACCTGCAGGACCAGGCTGCAACATCTGGAGAGCGGCGGGAGAGCAATGACTCATCCTGCAGCATCATTAACTTCTTAGAGCTGCTTATCATCCCCCTCGGATATGGAGTGAGCAGATCCGCAGGCTCCAGCCGGGATGTAATTGCCTGGGAAGCCTCTGCCATTAACCCTTGCTGGGCTGCAGGAAGGAGGCAAGCGGCGGCCTCCGGGCCCCTGCTTCTCCTACTGTTCCTTGTGTCCATCCAGCTCCTCTCCGGTGGCTTGGCAGCACCAAGGGCAGCTGGAGGCGCCTGCTCCATGCAAATGAGCTCGTTAGGCAGCACCGGCTCCCGGGGCTAATCGCCTCGGGCTGCAGCCCGTGTGCGGAGCCTCCCTGGCTTCGGGAACAGATTGCGGCTGCTTCTCCCAATCTGTGCCAGCACCGCAGCAGCTCCCAGTCGGAATCTCTGCAGCGGGCAGGACTAGGCTGCCCGGGCACGTGCACATGCAGTTTGCACGTGTGTGCACGCGTGTTTGCACGTGTGTGCGTGCAGCTTGCACTCGTGTGTGCATGCACACGTGTGTGCCCGCCTGGCACTTCCCCTCTCCAAAGAGAGCTCTTTGTTCAAACGCAGCTGCCCAGTGGCAGCCTCTTTAATGCAACCCGGGGCAGCAGTGCCAGGGCAGGAAACGGAGAAGAAAAACACGGTCTCCATGGCAGGAGGCAAACGTCGCTCCCGGCTGGAGCGAGGCCAGGCCGGGGCGACGATCCCGCTCGCAGCCCTGCACCGTCTGACACCACCACGTCCCCTCTGCGCGCCGGCCGCTGCCAAGGGGACGGCCGCCAGCACCGGCAAAATCCCTCCTATCCGCTCCAAAACCCAATGCCAGAGCCCGGGCAGGGAGCAGCCTGCGGGAATGGGAGCCCAAAGCTCGTGGAAATGCAGCCGGCCGCTTCCCGAGGAGAGGGCCCTGCGGAGCGCAGGGCGCGGCTGCTGCAGGGCTCAGGGATTCGCCCCGGGTTGCTGGATCTTTCCTTGCCGCTCCCACGGCCAAGCACCAGGCACGGGACGGGAAGAGGGCAGCAGCCTGTAAATAAGGGAGCTCTCTGATTTCTATCCTGCTTTTCCACTTTTCCTTTCCTTTCACACATGCTGGCAGTATCAGGACCCCCCACCTGCCCATGGGGCCAGGGGCTCCTGCCCTTTCCCCATCCCACCACCCTGGCTTCTCGTTAGGAAGGAGATTTTCTTGGTTATTTTTGGCTCCTGACACTGTCCCCGGGGTTCCCGGTCCCTGCAAGGCAGCGAGGCCACAGATGGCCAGTCAGGATGGTTAAAGGCTTGAGTGTTTTTCTGTTGAAAAACACCAGTTTTTGGGAAAGGGGGCGTCTCCTGATATGCTGCTGATTGGAGCTGAATTTTTTGGGGAAAAATAGGAATTAGGGGAAGGAAAGAGCAAGAATATTCTGGCTGCATCAAACTCTGAGATCACAGCAAATCAACCAGTCGGGTCTTGAAACGCCTCCTTTAAGAAAGTGCAAAATTTGCGTTTCTCCCCTTACCCCCCAATATTCCCAAGAGTTCAGTTTCTACAAACCAAACCTCTTGGCCAGCCCCAAATATCTGGGAATTTCCACCGTCCCCTTCTCTTTCCCTGAGGCTTCTCCCAGGAGGAGGGTTTCGAAACGTGGGCCCTGGGGCCGGCGCGGAGCAGGAGGGCTCTGCACAGGGGCCAGGGCCCCACAGGCAGCCGCATCCCGGCCCTGCAAGGAAAACGCACGAGGTGACGGCTCTGAGATTGGCTCTTCCCATGGGATGCACTGAAGTCGTGGCCCCGCGCGGGCTTCTTTAGCACCTCCATCGGAATGCTGACCCCATCCCGGGCTCACATCTGCATGAGCTCAGCCCTTCCCGTGGGATTTCTCCCAGACGTGGTGTTGGGTGTCCCGGGAGCCTCCTTCACCGCAGCTGCATCCTGGTTGGCACAAGCGATGCCGGTCGGGCTGCACTCGCAGCACTGGGGAGCACTGGGGACGATGCCTGGTGGGGGCAGCCCAGGGAGCATCTTTTGGTGCTTCCTCCTTTGATTTGCATCCTTTGGTGCGTTGTCCTTTGAATCATTTGAAGTTGCATCGTTCAGTGTTGCATCGTCTTTACTGGTCTCCAGGTTTTATTCCTAAGCAGGCAGGTGGGCTACTCCTTTGGGACAAAGCACGAGTTTTGATCAGGGTGTTTTTAAAAGCAGCCCCTCCTGGGGTGGGTTTGGAGTCTGGCTCCGTGTCCGGAGGGGCTGGAAAGGGCCCCCGGCGCTGCCGGCTCTGCTGGAAAGCCAGAGCTCTCTGACGCTGGGGCGGGAACATCACTGGGTGCTGCCGGGGGGATTCACGGGCTGTCCCGCTCATCCGCTGGGTGCTGCCGGGGGGATTCACGGGCTGTCCCGCTCATCCGCTGGGTGCTGCCGGGGGGATTCACGGGCTGTCCCGCTCATCCGCTGGGTGCTGCCGGGGGGATTCACGGGCTGTCCTGCTCATCCGCTGGGTGCTGCCGGGGGGATTCACGGGCTGTCCGGCTCATCCGCTGGGTGCTGCCGGGGGGATTCACGGGCTGTCCCGCTCTCCTCGCAGACGCCGCGGCCGTGGACCTGGAGCGCTACGACGGCCGGAGCCTGGCGCAGGCCCTGACGTGGTACCTGCGGGAGCTGCCGGCGCCCGTCATCCCGCCGGCCCTGCACGCCGACCTCTTCCTCCTGGCCCAAGGTGAGCGGCGCCGGCGTTCCCGGCCGCTCGTTGCACTCCATCTTTCCATCCGTCGGGTGGGAAGTGGTTGCTCCCAGTGTTGCCAGGAATCACTGTGGCTAAGATGATATGAGCAAAGGGCACGAGGCCTCTCCAAAGGGTTGTACAGACCCGGGAGTGTTGGGATGGGAGCTGGGAGTGGGATGGGAGCCCGGAGCAGGCGCTACCCCGCTAGGCTGCCGCGGGGTCCCCCATGGGATCAGCACCGTCCTGCCGGCGCGTGCAGGGCTCAGCCCAGACGTGTCGCTCCAGGGACCATATCCAGCCCCAGAACCTCTACACTGGGAGCCGCGGGGATGGCCCGGACGTGCGCCCACAGCTCCGGGACACTGCTCTCCCGTGTGCCGAGTCGCGTAAGGACACGGGCGTTTCGCAACCCGCCGTGCTCCAGCCGCCACAGGCTGCAAGCGGAGCAGGCGCCGGGATCCCATCCCGCTCCCAGGGATCCCACCTTGCAGCACGGGGTGCCCTCCCGCCCAGGCGTGACACTGTGGGACACTGGGGACACTGGAGCCTGGCGCTTGGGTTGCGCTTTGCCCCACAGACCCCCTCCCAGGCTACCAGGGCTCCCTAAGGAAAACCCTAAGGAAGGAACCACCGAGACAAGGCTGGATCATACTGTGCACCCTCCAATCCCACTGTGCATCCTCCAAATCCCACTGTGCACCCCCCAAATCCACTGTGCAGCCTGCAATCCCACTGTGCATCCTCCAAATCCCGCTATGCATCCATGGCCCTGCTCCATCCGGACGGTGAGCAGTGCCGGTGTGTCCAGCCCTGCCAGAAGTGCAGCTGGCTGCCAAGTCTCCGAGATGCTGGCCCAGGAAAAAAGCATTATTACAATATTTTGGCTCTGCTGCCTGGGAATTTTTTACTGTAATCTCGTCAAGACTTGGCTTTATATGGGCATGGAAGAATTCCTCGCTTTTTTCGCTCAGGATTTTGGAAGTGCCTGCAGGTCTCTGCAAGCTTTTCGGCCTCTGTGCAAATATGTGAAGTTGTGAAGGTTTCAGCTCTGATTTTTTGCACTGAAGTGACAGGCTGGTAAGCAGCTGGGAAAGGGCATTTTTCCAGCTTGGCTGGGACCAGGGCTGTGGATGGAGGTTCTGGAGAGCCCCCCTGCCGCTTCCCGCAGCGCGGGAGCTGCCCCCTTTTCCCGCTCCCGCTGGAGCCCATGAGGCCGGTGGCATGGAGACACTGGAGACACTGTCTCCCCCCATGCCCATTGGAGAGGAGAAATCAAAGGCTGCCTCCCTTCCAAGGATAAAAACTCAATTAGAAAGCAATTAGCCGTGTTGCCTCGTTAAGCTACTTCAAAGGGAAGCGCCTTTCCCCTGCAGCCCCGAGTTCCTTGGATTCCTGCGCAGGAGCGAGCTCTGCTCCTTGCACAACACAGAGGAGGAGGAGGGGGAGGCGGAGGATGGAGCCAGGAACTGAGGCGAAAACCGGCGGGGATTTCTCTGGGGCTCAGGAAAGAAAAAAAGCAGCTCTTTGAGGAGACGGTTCTGGGTTTTGGCAGTCCGCCCTGCAGGGAGCCTCCTGTGCCAAGGCTGAGGCTGGAGGGACCCACCACACGAGGGTCTCATCTATGACTCCTTCCAAACCCTTATCCGGGTGGATTTGGAGCTGCTCCCAGTGGAAAACTGCGCAGTCCCGGGAGCACGGAGCTGGTGCCTGCAGCAGCTCCATGGCTGTGGCGCTCCGGGCAGCTCCAGCTGGGATGTCTGCACTTCCCCTTCGCCCTGCGCTGCCCTGCAAGGGATCCCGGTTTTGGGGCACCCAAACCAAGCTGCTCTCCATCGCGCAGCCCTCGGAGAGCCTCAGCCCCAAGCCGTGGGGGGAACCCTGGAAAAGCGGCTGGCTGGCACGAGCCAAGCCGGAGAAACAGGAGGTTTTCCAAACCCCGTGCTCGAGCTTGGCCATGCTTCCTGTAGCACAGGCCAGGATTTCTCCTTAGGGCAACCCAAAGGGCTGGAAACTGCCAGAAACAATTCCCCAGGTCTGGGAATTGGTGCAGGTGCAAACAGCGCTGGGGTCACATCCCGTTCAGAGCCGTCCACGGTGCCCCCAGCTCGCTTGCAGGGCTCCCCAACCTCCCACCACCTCCGGGATACTGGGTGCACATCGGCCCTGCGACCTGGAGGATGCCAGTGTGAGGGGAATGGGCACGGGGGGTGCACCAGGGAGCAGAGACCCCACGGAGCTCATGGCACATGTGCTTCTTTCTCCCCTGCTGTGCGCAGAGAGCCCGGGCCTGGAGGAGTGCGGGCAGCGGGCGGGCGCCGTGCTGGCCGCGCCGGCGCTGCCGCCACCACACGCGCTGCTGCTGCGGGCGCTCGCCGGGCACCTGGGCCGCGCGAGCCGGGCCGGCCGCCCCTCCGCGCGCCGCCTGGGAGAGCTCTTCGGAGACCTGCTCCTCCGGCCCGCTCCCGGCAGGTGAGGGGCGCGCGGGGTCCCGGCGGCGGGGCGGACACAGCCCCAGTCCCAGGGTGCTGCTCCCGCGCGGGTTTGTCCCTGGGGTGCGAGTCGGGGTCACCCTCATGGGCTGTTTTAGTTGTGTTCCCCCCGCCAGCTCCTGCCTTGCATCTCCATAAAACCCTGGCGCTGCAGGGTTTATTCCCCTGGGGATTTTCACACGTGCGCTGCAGCCCTCCGACATCCCACAGAAGGATGTCCCGGGATAAGGCAGGTGCCGGGGTCCCACCGAGGGCACATTTCGGGATGCCCCAGTGCTCACGGCCGCCCTCTCTTCCTCCTGCTCCTCCTCCTCCTCCCCGCAGCGCCGAGGGCAGCCCGGAGCTCCGTGCCAAGGTGGTCGAGTCCCTCATCGTGGCGGGCGGCGCGGCCGAGGCCCCCGGTAAGAGACGTCGGGGGTGTCGGGGAGGAGCCGCGCGGGGCCGTGGGGACGTGGGGCTCCCCACTAGGACTCTAGTTACGTCTTGTTCTTCTATCCAAAGCGGTGTTGGCCTCCAGCACCCGTTCATCCCTGCACTGGCTTGCAGGAGGGGCCCGGGATGCTCCCGAGGCTGGGATGCAGGCGGCGCGTCCAGGCAGGGCAGGGATGTGCTGGGGAAAAGCGGGTGCCTGGGCCCGACCACAGCCCTTGAGGACCGTGGTGAGCAGCCCTCGTCCTCGGGCTTCTCGTGACTGCTGTGGGATCGCGTGTCCTCCCGATCCGAGCCCTGCGGAGCAGCTCCCAGCTTTCCGCTCGGAGCATCAGCATTGGCCCTGGTGGATCCTGTCTCCGCGCATTCCCTCCTTGTAATACATCTGGGTCCCTGTCATCGTGCTGCACGGCGGTGGGGTGGCCAGCCCTGCAGGATTACAGCTCTTAATATTGCTCGTAAATCAGCCCTTTCAGACCTGTCATCTCGTCCCCTGCTCCCCCTTGGACGCTCGCCCATGGGTTTGTCGGCATGGATCTGCCTCCCGTGCCGCTCGTGCGCATGTTGTGCAGCTGGAGCCCCGGTGCCATCCCCGCATTCCCGCAAACCAAGCGGGAACGTGGGTCAGGACTCCGGGGTCCTCATCCCGAACCACAAACCCCTTGGGAAGGTGGCCCTAGGGATCTGGAGCTGGGACTCCCAGGCTCTCCGTGCGACTTGTCCCGAGTCCTGCAGCCTCCCCTCTGTTTGCCTCTGAAAGGGAGGATATTATTACTGGTCTGTCATCACATTAGGATGTTGGGAAGCTTAATTAAATGCCTGCAAAGCGCTTTTGAGAGCTGTGGACGAAAGATGCTATATAAAGGGCCAGGAATTATTATTAGCAGCCGGCGCGGGGGCCGCGCGCTCCCCTTGGTGCCGCCCGCCCCGCCGCGCGGCGCCCTTCACGTTTCCGAGCGCGTGTGGGGCTGCGGCCGTGCAATTATACATGTAAAATAGCTATAAATACCCACAATGACACAGCGGGGTGTGCCAGCAAACCGGGAATAGGATCAGGAGCTGACCCGGAGGAAACCGCGGTGTGACCTCATCCGGACTCGGGCACAAATGCACCCCGCGCGAACGGGCGCCCGGGGGCTTGGCACACACGGGGTGTCAGCCCTCTCGGGGCTGGTGTTTGAGGCTTTGGTGCATAAAAAAAACGAGTATAAAGGATGAAAAGCAGTGTTGGAGCTTGGATCGCAGTTGGGGGTGCCGGGTGTGGATTCGCTGGTGGCTGCTCTGGCGGCTGAGCTGGGTCTGCACCTTCTGCCGAGGGAAGGAGCTGCGGGAGGCAAAGGCCAGGGCCAGGCGGCCGCATCCGGAGCAACTCTTGCTGCTTCCCCCTGCGAGTCTCCATCAGCAAGGAGCCCTTCCAGGAGCCGGGAGCTCCCGGGCAAGCTCAGGACCTGGTGCCGGGAGGATCCAATGCCGCAGCTCGGGTGCAGGAGCGCTGGGAAGCGGCAGGAAGCCGTGATGTAAATAGCAGCTCAGCTGAGGGCAGATGACTTCATCTCCTTTTCCTCTCCTGGCGCTATTTATAGGCACTTCAATTTACTCCCCTTTGCTTTATTATCTCTCCGGCAAGCCGCGAGCCCGCGGACAGCGGGATGCCTTTGCTCACAGCGCAGCAAAGACCAGTGCAAACCCCGTCCCCGAGGGAAAAAAACAATTAAAAACGGGAGTGGGAGGCAGGAAAAGAAGGCAGAGAGCTGGGGAGCAGGAATATGTCGGATTTGGGGGGAAAATAGAGAGGATTTCAGCTTCTTGTGGGGGGAATAATGAAGGGAGATCTGCCTCTCCATCCTTGGGAGCACCAGGGCCGCCGGTGCGTGGGCAGGTGCTGCGGGGCACGGGGACATCACCGCGCGGGGACACTCGGTGTCCTGCGTCGCTGTCCCCTTCCCTGCCCGTGACCATCGCACCGCCGCCTTGTCACCGCGCCGGGCAAGGGGAGAGCAGCAGCAGCTACAAATAAGCACAGAGGCCTTTCCGGATGCGTCCCAGGATGCGAGCGTGCGCCCCCGTGGAAGGGCAGGGGGATGGGGGTTCTCTGATGGCTGCTAGTGTGGCTGAGCCCACCTCTGCGGTGCCTGCGCTTCCCTGCTCCGGTGCTCCCCGATCATCCCATTGCGCGGGGGCAGCGAGGGGCACGTGCACACATGGTGGGTCCGGGATGCTGCCCGTGCAGATCCCGATGGAAATCTCCCTCTCCCAGCAGCCGCACGGGCATCTCTGATGGGCAGCGTCGCCGTCGTGGAGAGCAGCTGCCCTCCACCAAATTGCATCGCATGGCTTTGAAGTTTTTAATTATCTCTGCCCGTCTCCTGCCTGCTCCCCTTGGAATCCACGGGAAATCCCCCTTTCATCCCGCCCTGGGCACGGACCAGACGGAGCCTGCGCCCACGAGGGCAGCGGAGCTCGCGCCGAGCAGTGCCCGAAACGCCTCCCCCGCCGGGATCCGTGCAGATCCCGGGAGACGCGCTGGGCATCCGTGTGGTCCTCAGTGCCCCGTCCCCCCACTTTGCTTGCATATCCCACCAGTCTCATACTCTATCCCACCCGTCTCGTTGCATATCCCACCAGCTCGGCTGAGGATCCCTGGCAGTCGCTGCGTGCCTCGGTTTCCCCTCTGTGCAATGGGGTCCCACCTGTGGATGAGGCCGGACATAGTCAGGCGGCAGCTTGGATAAAACAGGGCAAAAACCCTCTGCAAAAGGCAGTTTCCCCAGCAAGTCCTGCCAAATCTGTCCCCATCCATGAGAGCGCTTTGCTAAGGCAGGTTTTCCTTCCATCCTCCATTCTGTATCCCGCAGCTCATCCCATACCCAATTCCCTGTCTGGGAGCAGCGTGTGGGGTGGGGACAGGGTTAAAAATAGCCAGTGGGGGCAAAAACTACCCCAAAGTGTGGGGTGAAGGGCAGCGCAGGGCCCTAATCTGAAAATAGTCCAGAGCAAACAAATTAATGACAGGGAAAAAGAAACAAAAAGAAAAAGAGAGGAAAAAACAGCAGGCGAGCGCCTAGCGACACGAGATGGGGAGAGCAGCTAAAAATACCGAGTGCCCGCGGCGCAGGGAGAGGCACGGCGGGAACATCCAGGGCTGCCATCCGAGCGGAGGCTCCAGCTGCTCCATGCCCCTGTGCAGCCAAGCGCAGCGTTCCCGGCACGGGAATGCTGGAAATCCCTGGGCAGCGGGGAGGGATGAGGAGGAATTCCCGCCAGCCACAGGGACGGGCTGGGAATATCTGCAGGGGACGGGGATGTGACTTTGGCTGCTGGGTCTCCACGGGCAGCCACTCCGCCGGGATGGCTCCGGCCGGGATCCCAGGGAGGTTGGGGCGCCCGGGAAGGCGCCGCTCGCCTCCTGCTCGCAGGCTGCCGCGGGCAGGAGCCGGATGCCGGCGGGGACCCCCCGGCGCTGCTAATTTTAGCCCCGTGCTCAATTAATCATGGAGCAGGAGGGGCCGGGCGCCGCAGCGAGCCCAGCCGGGGCGCCCGCTGCCCGCAGGGAGCTCCGGGAAACGGGGCCCGGGGCGGCCTCCCGCCCGCTCTGGGAAGCTGGGACAGCCCTTCCACCCGCCCATCCTCTTCCTCTGCAGCAGCCCACGGGAGAGGCCGGGAGAAGCCCGGGCAGGGATGGATGGAGGATGCTCTGCAGCTCCATTCCCATCTCACGCTCGCGTCCTGCCTCAGTTTCCCCACTGCCGTCACCGCGGGCTGCCCCGGGTTCCTCCGCTGTGCTGTGGCTCCCTGTATCCCACTGTGGCTCCCTGTATCCTGCTGAGGCTCCCTGTATCCCACCCCGCTCCGCACGGGCTGTTCTGGGCAGCGCCACGCTGAGCACAGCGCGATCCAAGCCCGGCAGCACCGTCGCCCCGCGCTGGGGGCACGGCTCCCGACGGAAGCCGTTTCCGCTCCGTTCGGATTCAAGCCCTTTTCCTGCCGGGCCCGCGTGGCCGGGGCTGATAAGGGGCGGATCATTGTGAGCTGCGGAACAATGACCCGTGCGGGGTTATCGCCCCGCGCAGGGGCCGCCGTGCGGGGCAGCACGCAGCGCCCGCGCCTCTCCCGTCTTCTTTGCCTTCTCGGTTTTTCCAGCGTGTCTGATTTTTTGGGATGCGTCGGCATTTGGGCCAAAGACAAAAGCAGGATCCCCCAATCCACACTGCCCAGCTTGAAATCCAGGCATCCGAGTGAGTTGAAACAGGCGCCCAGACCAGGACGGAGCTGCCTGACCCTCGGATGGGTCGGACACCGGATGGGTTGTTGGTACAGGCTGGTGCCTCCGTATCCCTCCCCCAGGAATGGCGGGAAGAGCCGGCCAGGCCGGCGGGGCCGCGGGAGCCGCTGGCCATGGGCTCCATCCCTGGGCTTAGGCCGCGGTGTCCGCCCAGCCTGACCCGCCGTTGAAGTCTCCCAATGCCGTCCCGCCACGGGGACCCAATCCAGCCTGCAGCTCACGGTGTCTCTGCATCAGGGGCTGCCGGGGCGCCTGGCCCTGGGCCCTCCATGCGTCCCCATCCTGGCTCTGCGTCTCCAGACCAGCTGGGTCCCCATCCTGGCTCCGTGTCCCCTTGCCGACCATGGTGCTCATGGCTGTGTGTCTGAGTTCCTCTCTCCCACGGACACACAGCACCTCAGGGATGACCCGGAGCTGCTCCTCAGCATCCAGAGAGCCCGGATATCCATGCAAACGGAGGGCTTTGTCCTCTGGGACAGGCAGGCCTGGAGCAGTGGCCCCAGACAAGGTGCCAAGGAGGGGAAACCAGCACCTTAACTGGTGCCTGGATGTGCAGGGTTCACAGGGCGGCCTCTCCATCCCCAGCACAAAGGATTTGGGCTGCGCTTTCTGTGGTACCTGTTTCTATTTGACTGCAGGCCTCTTCTTGCTCCCCGTCCACCTGATGCTTGAAACAACCAGGGCCCCAGG